GGCTTTGACGGACTCCAGGCAGGTAGAGTCACACCTCTGGAAAACGAAAAATGACTTCAGTCATTTTCCCAGCTTGACTGCACACACCAAGAGGGGAGGGACCCTGGCTTGACTGTACACACCGAGAGCACAGTCGTTTCCACAAACTCTTCCTCAGCACTTGGCACAATTTCTGAAACATAGTAGTTCCGCAATCAACATGCGGATCCCTCACGGGTTGACTTTAAATTGTGCCTGAAATTCTTATATATATATATATACACACACACACACACACACACGTATGTGTATATATATTTTACATCATTCTTCCTTTTTGTACAATATTTGCTTTCTCCTCTCAGGTGTAGTCCTCGTAGAATCCTCTCCACCAGTTCACCCGTGCACCATCGCCATAGTCCCTTGTGCTCGTCCCTCCTGTTTTGATCCCTTCTCTCCCCCTCTCTGCAGAATGTCTCTGATTTATAGTTGCCTGTTAATTTTGTTTTTTAATTTATTATAATTATTTTCCCCCTGATCCCTTATTTGGTTCCCCTCCTATAAGTGAAACCATCAATATTTTTCTTTTTCTTTCTGTGTGCCTGAAATTCTGACTGCAGAGTCAGAAGTCTTTCAGTGAAAAATGAAGTCAGTAGTCTTTCAGTGTCATGTCTCAACATGTGATCCCTAAATAATTTTTATAAGCAGAAAAACATTTCAACAATGAAAACAAATTTTATAAATAATAAGCAACAACCTGAAAGTAAATGAGTACTCTTGGACATGATCTATAAAAACTTACTATGCTTGACAAAGGAAGAGTCTTCGAGAGAGAGGGGAGGTGGTGAAGAGGGGGCCCCCAAGGAGTCAGAAGTACACAAGATGTACTTTTCTTTCTCCCAGTTGTATCCACTAATCTTTCAACCTCTGGGGAGGTTATGGCTGTTTCGCACTCAAATTGGCCTTAAAAATATGATCGATAAGACAGCACAGAAAACCACCTATAGGTCACAGCAGAGGCTAATTTATGAGAGGAGTTTGAAACAAGCAGAAATACATCCTGCTCCCAACAGCTTGAAGATCTGTAAACAAATTTTGTTACTGACTCTATGGACCCAGAGTAAACCTCTGGGCTCATTCCAATAAGCCACACAATTCCAATGTGCTCCATAGGATTATCTTCAACTAGGGAACCGTTCAAGTCAATTGCAGAATGTGTCATTCTGAAACGGTAATGTTGATCTATTATTTCCTTAGTGTACTGGCTTAGTGCTTTTTGGGGTGAAAACAAAACAAAACAAAACAAAACAAAACAAAACAAAACAAAACAAAACAACAATTATCCAAAAAGTGGAATAACTTTCTAAGAACTCTAAGGAAGACAACGATTACAGACAGTTGCTATGCAAAGTCTGTATGTGGTATTGATGGATGGATTCTACGGATTCTGAGTTAACTGGAAGCTCGAAATTGACTAGGATGGTGCTGACCTCTGTTGATGAGCATGTATAGCTCTGTCAAAACTTATTAACTTTGCTTTTGTTGGAACTAATCCCAAAACGAGCTGATGTGCTGCTTGAAGAGGGAAATGAGGGCACGGTAGGGAAAAGGGTTGGCTCCAAAGACCCCCACAGCCTAGTCTTTCCCCCCGCACGTCCCATCTGTCTACCCAGATGCCTTTCCTCTTACTTCCTTGCACCCCTGTGATTCATAGCATTTTTAGTTTTGAAAGTCTCAGAAGCCATTTGGAAAGGCAACTTGAATTTCAAACCTTAGTTTAGAGATAATTTCAAAAATCTTTTTCCAGTGTTGGTAAAAAAAAATTCACTCAACTCTTTTTTTATTGAAAAGTAGGTAGATACTAGTATGGGACTTTTAATCTATTTTCATTTTCACTTTATATAACAATTACTGGTTTAAGTATCTTTTCTCCCAGAGTAAATGCAACTCCTCCTGGGAAAAAAAAACTGCCTTCTTTTCATTGCATTATCTCCTATGCTGCACATACGCAAGACACTCGAGTGTGTCTTGAAAATATGAATGCAATAGATGCTACATGAAGGAACTGAACGAAAGGGCCTTCTAAAGATCTCTCGCACATTCATACATAAAGTGATACACTTTCATGCATGCTGATCTCCCAATGAAGAATCCAAGTAGGTGGTCAATGTCCTAGATTATCTGATTGAGGTGCACATTAAAATGAATGTTTGCTTTCCAGTTGGAATCAAATCCAGTATCTGAAGTACCATAACTCTAAGATGCATTTCATAACTGTGGCTGTCTATATTCTGGCTAATGCAATGATTATGCAACCTCTGCATTCGTTTCTCTATATGTGTGCTTTGAAACTCTCCCTGGAACTCTTTCAGAAATTTTTGTTTTCAGCATCCCTTAACCAGCTCATCCTGCGTTCTGGCACAGCAGTCATCTGGGATTATTCTTTAACATAGTCTATAATAAACTGACCTTTAATTTTCAATTTTTTTTGAGGCACTGAAATTGACTTAAACGTCATTTGCTTCAACTTTTCCCCACCTATTATTTTCCATCCTGTAACATGGGAATTGGATATTCAGTATAGTAACAAAATTTTTGAGGAAACTGAAGTTAGCTATATGCCAACGCCAAGTGTGCACTCTTAAATATTACTTGAATGTTTGGAAGTTGTTGGACATGATCGACATTCATGTTTCTTTTGGTTTTAAAAAGAAAAGGTTATTTTTGTTCTACAACTAGTAATGGATTATAGAACACACTGTGGAGAATCTGAATTTATAGCAACTATCTTAAAGAAACAGAAAGATATGTGCATATCTAATAAAAATGAGACATCCTTTGGTATTTGAAAAGGAAGATAGAATTCCAAAGACTGTTTTCCTCTTTAAATGAGAGCTAATAAGAACTGATGACTGAGACAGGTGGTAGAATTAACTAGGCCAACCATCCAATCATACAATCTGACACAAATCACTTGAATGTACTTTTAGACGGAAAATATGGGCTCTGAAACCCATCAAAATAAATTTTACAGATGGTTTGAAAATGTCATCATGTACGATGCAAATCATTTTCTGTACTCTTTCAGTACGTATTGGTTTTTTTTTTTAATACCATCCAAGAAGTTTCTTTTAGCTCATAACTCTAATAGCAAGACTGGATAGAATAAATCTATCACCTATACCCATGATAGTACCTGAAAAACACACATATACACACACCTGTCCCTCTTTTCCCCTTGTTAGATAGCATGTGTATTCATGAAATCGTAGTGTTTGGTACTGTCATATTTTAATGACAGATGTCAGAGATGTTCTTTCCTGGGGTGAGGAAGGAAATGAGGGAGTGCTGAATATTCCTTAGCATTGCTGACCTGATTCGGATCATCACCCTTCTCTTAATCAGGGCATGATAACATGGTCTCATGCTCTCAGGGAAAAGGTGAAATGCTGGTCCTAGAAGGAGCAAATAGCCTAACAATTGCACTGTGGTTACAACTCCAACATCCCTGGGCTGTGTTTGGCACCCTGACCAACCGTTCCTCCCAAACACCAGTGGGCAGGCTAATTCCCTAGACAGGAGATGGGTTCCCACGCGATGGTGTGAGGAGGTTTTCATCAAATGTCATCCCGGAGGAGGGTAACAAAAGACCTTTGAAAGGGACTTAAAAGACATTTAGCAACTTGCTCAAGGTTGCTCATCATCAAGGAACAGAGCTGGGACTCGAGCTAGCGCCTCAAGCCATGATGTTTTGCTTTTTTCATGACACTGCATGTGCTCAATAGCACTCAAAGTGTACTGGTAGATGTTTAACAACTGGGTCTCCAAGGAAGATTGAAAAGGCTCTGATGTGCAAGTAAATTCCCCCACAGGCCTATTTCAAACTATAAATATGATGATGTCTTTGTACAGAGCTGGGAAGAGGTGCATAAAAGCATACCATTATATAGTATTTTCACTGGACAGAATCGATGCAAATAACTTCAAGCACA